CTTACCAGTTTTTTGGGTACAAGAACGGCAAAACGTGATAGTTGGTAAAAACTGGTACGAACTAGCGCGTACAAGAACGCTACTATTGCCTTCCGCGAAAAATTGCTGTATGTTCTTTTTGTTGTTTATTGGAAAATTGCCGCAAGCATTTTTGTGCAAAATTTGTCTTCAGTGCTTTGAACAAATAAAAAAGCAATAAATTTGGTGTTTTTCGTATCGATTTAAGAAGTAATTAGTGATTAAAATAGTGAATCTCAATCGGGAATAACGAATGTGCCAGTTCTAGAAAATATCCAATAATTGTAAAAAATTGTAGTTCTAAATCATAGTAGATGTTTGTATGAATGTATGTATGTAATTAGTTACTGCTCCGTGTACTTAACGAAAATTCTAAATTTTGATGAAAGGTAAGTTTAAAGGTTTATATCCATATCTTAGTACATATTGAAGGAATCCCTGATAACAAATGAGCATAGTAGGTAGAGAAAGCGAATAAAGGCGGTACCAGCGGCGTCATTTTTATCAATGTGAAACTTGCTTATTCGCGTTGCAAGTCTTTTAATCTTTGTGTAAAATTCTGTAGTAAAGTACTTTTAATAATGTGCCGCGCTAACCGAGTAGCTGTATTTTGTTAAAATATGCATACATATACATATGTATGTATGTATATCGCGATAAGTGAAGTGCATTGAACTCTACGATGGTCAAGGACACAACACGCCCATTGCAGTGGAGCAGAATGACTGGATTTTTAAGATTAGAGGTAAGAGCTATGCTATTTTCTAAGATCTAATTCAATATTGCCAGTTTAAAGCGAATTTTGTTCTATTTTTTGGTTGTATTTGAAATGAAAAATTCGTTGGTCATAGAAATTGACCCATGTTCCTGCTAACGGGCCAGTCTTTCATTGCCAGTTCATCATACTCATAGGGAATTTACATGAGGCGAATAGGTTTGTTCACCAACCTACTCGAAGTAACTTCGAGTTACACATACGCGTTCCACAAGTTTCTTTGATATACGCTCACAGTTTGGACTTTGCTCGAGTTTTTCTACAAGTAGCTTGTAGAACAAACCTAATATCGAGGGCTCATATTCAATATTCTCTATCTGCAATTTTCACAAAAACAACTTTGTGATGTTAGAACCCCTCTGGGTCTTATTTGTCATTACTGGTGTTAATTCTGGCTTTGCAATTTAAAAGTAAATTCTTCTCTCGAGCGTGATACAAGGTCAGCATTAATATCACCGAGGACAGTTAAGTCTTAGGTGGATTTTTATATTAGAATCTCATTTTTGTGAAGATGCAGATAGAGGGTATTGAATATAAGCCCTCGATATGTTAGAGGTTTAATTATTTAAAAATAAGTCTGACGTTTTTTTGTCGGGTGTTGCTAGTTATCTCGAAAATAACTTTCAGTTTAATAACAACAAATTTGAATAGTCGAATGGCTTTTACCTATAACTTACAATTCTTTTGGGAAATGTTTAGTTATTGGCCCATCGTTTTTGGGGTGGGGGCGGAGGTGGAGGGTGCGTGGCCCCCAAACCCCCCTCATTCGAAAGGGGCCAGTCGCCACTTTACGAAAAGCCCCACCCCCCCTTAGGGACCTCCCACAGACCCCTAGGGAACCGTTTGAAAATGGGGTAAAAACGGCATTTTCCGAGTCAAACTGAGCAGTTTGAAGTGGAATATAACCCAACTAACAGAATCTGTGGGGTTTTTAAATAAAAGAAGTTATCCCAAGGTGGTTATCACGCGAAAAAAGGAGGGCTAAACACCTTTCGCAGAGAACACCTTTGTGCGTAGGCGGCCTTCGGCCGCACTTAGGGATTATAACCCTCAGACAGTAGAATTCTCCTTTCTGTGTAGCCAAAGAAGGGGGGCTGAACACCTTTTGCAGAGAACACCTTTCTGCGTAGGCGGCCTTCGGCCGCACTTAGGGATTATAACCCTCAGGCAGTAGAATTCTCCTTTCTGTGTTGCCAAAGAAGGGGGGCTGAACACCTTTTGCAGAGAACACCTTTCTACGTAGGCGGCCTTCGGCCGCACTTAGGGATTATAACCCTCAGGCAGTAGAATTCCCCTTTCTGTTTTGCGAAGAAAAGGAGCTGAACACCTTTTGCAGAGAACACCTTTGTATATTTTTAATGCTTACTGGGTTATATCCTATCTTCTTTTGTCTCTCATTCTTTTGCATATTTTGGAGTTTGACAGCTGAACTCCGCCATTTAATTTGCATATGCAACCAAAGTCAGACGCGTGATTTTGAAGGTGTTTTTATTATAACGCTTTTATCAACTTGCAATGTTGTGGATCCAGAAGTTTTCAATGTTGTGTGTCCGACACCAAAGCAAAGCTTTGAAAAGCTCCTATAAAAAAGCATAGTGAATAGGGCGAGGTAGATGACATCTAGATGTCGCCCTATGTACTACGTTTGCTACACCGGAAATAGCCGACACGCCATTTCTTTAAATAAAATTAGTTTGACTATTGTCAACTAAATCGAATGCTTTGTAAGTGAAGTGACTTGTGGACCACTTGAGGTATAGGTTGACCAGTTGGTAACCACTTTGGGACCAGTTGGTAACTAGTTCGTGGGACCAGTTGGTAACCAGTCGGGGACCAGTCCGGGAACCAGTTGGGAACCAGTTTGGGACTAGTCCGAAACTACTTACCTTCGGACCAGTTGGGGACCAGTTGGTCTTTTTAAGCTCCTGTGGCCGTTTTAAGGGTAATTCTTGGGCTCCTGCACTGCCGCTAGGGGTTTCTGCCTTCTACGGTGGTAATTTTGGGCCGGGTTGAGAAGTATTATTTTCTACTTTTTAGTCCATTTATAAAAGCGTTGTATATTAAAAAGTTTTTTTTATATTATTTATTATTTAATGAATTGTGATGAATTGGTTAATATTAAAGTCGTAAAGCAAGTTATAACAAATCAAGTAAAGTGTAAAGTGAAGGGGAATACAAAAATATATTGGTGAAGTGGCTAATTTAAGCAGAATAGGAGTGATAAATGTACGCTAATTTCCGAATTTTACAAAAAAAGGCATATTTCAAACCCAATTTGTAAATAAATTAGTAACCAAAATTTACAAAAGTGAGTGTTAAAATATTGCGTGGACCCTTGACTACAAGTGTGTGAAATTTTTTTTTGGATCGGACCACCCATTTGGACGGAATAGCCCGAAATAGTTGTGAGCGGTACTAAACCCCACCCGTTAGATACTCTTTTTAGCGAATTCTTAGACTTTCAAAGTTTTTGCGTTGTTGAAAAAATTAATTTAAGCCATGGGGAATTATAGATGAAGTTTTTAAATAGTGGTACTTTTCCACAGTTTGAGAAAATATGTAATTTTTTATTTTTTTTTAATACCACACTCAAACAAAGCAACTCTCAGATCTTAAGTATAAAGTTTTCTTTCTGGCGCAAAGAAAGAAACCGGCTTCTAAATAAATTTTTTTTAAGTGAACTTCATATTAAAAGTAATTTTAAAATGGAAAATATAGAATTCTTTGACTATTTCAACACTGAAGATGAAAATGATTCGTTATTGCTATTCAAAAATGTCGTAAATATAAAATACTTAGGGAGTTCACAAGGTGTTGTATTCTGTCGTACTGTTGTATGTCATAAACTTTAAACGCCTAAAACTATATTTAAGGAATTCGCAAGCTAACATAAAAGTTGTATTATGAAATTTCACACAATTAAAAAATAGTTGGTGGTGAGTTCAAGTCCTCTAAACATTTATTTAGCCGTTAAAAACTTTACAACATACAACAATACGACAAGTACGACACCTTGTCAACCACCCAACTGTGTATAATGATGTGTACACTCATGTTAAAATGAACAACTCTTTTCTTATGAACTATATTTTATTTATATACCAAAATATTGTTAAAAACAACTACTCTGGCGTTTTAAAGTATTATCTGATGCTTACATTCATAATTCTGCTTTGAAGAAAAATGTACTGAAAAGTACTGATTTTTTTAGCATGAAAAAGTCTAACGTACTGATTTCGCGCATAAAAAATCTGGCAACCCTAGTTTAAACTCAGTTTAGAGCATAGACAGACGGCAGCATTGATCCGGATTAACGGCGCAGTTGATCTGATTAAAATTGTGTCTTCGCAGACGGGAGTAAAGCGCATTAACGAGCTGCAAGGTCATGGGTTCGAGTCCCACGGCCAGTAGAATCTTCATTTCTTTCTTTTTTATCCATTTTTTTTTTTATCAAGCTCTCTAAAGATATATTTGAAAGATTAAAAAACTCATTTAGGTTATTACAGACTAGGGCTGATGATACCCGAGGGTAAATCGTGTATTTTTTATATTTTTTATGAAGGGTATTGCGCATTTTCTTCCATATAAGGCATCAACAAAACTTACTTCTACATGGAAAAAAATGCGCAACACCCTCCACAAAAAAATTCTAAAAAAACGGTAATTTTTAGCGACTTGAAACTTAGACATTATTGAATGGGCTATAAAAGTACCTACAGTGAAACCTGTTTAAAAAATATAACCGACTTCTTCATGATCAAATAATCGGATCTAAACCAAATTACCTTTCCGAGGCAAAAAGAATTATCGAAATGGTTTGACGTGGTCCAAAGTTATGCGGTAATATACATAAAAAAAAATATATTCCGACGAACTGATAACCTCCTCCTTTTTGGAAGTCGGTTAAAAAGATAGATGGAAATACCCATATCTTCGCCATTATTGGGAAGTTTAGTCATATTTTAGGCTGAACATGTTCTCCTTATCAAGCTTAGCAATTGTATGATGAAATCTCTAAAAACGTAAATTTTTTAATTACATCTGTATATTATTAAACGTGCGATATAATCAGGAATAAGGGCTTTTCCCTTGCCCTTTACAACTAAAAGCCAGTATGCAGCTCTCAAGAAAATGGTCAAGAAAAAATGCCACTATTTCGTGCGTGTGTCCAAGGAATTTTAGCATCTGATGCTTCA